TTCTAACTCTCTATCCCTCTCCCTTCCTCTCTGTTAAATATCAATAAAATATATTTTAAAAAAAGAAAAGAAGAGAAAAGTTATTTGAAGAAATAATGACAGAAAACTTCCCCTACCTGGTGAAAGAAATAGACTTCCAAGTCCAGGAAGCGCAGAGAACCCCAAACAAAAGGAATCCAAAGAGGACCACACCAAGACACATCATAATTAAAATGCCAAGAGCAAAAGACAAAGAGAGAATCTTAAAAGCAGCAAGAGAAAAAAAGTCAGTTACCTATAAGGGAGTACCCATACGACTGTCAGCTGATTTCTCAACAGAAACTTTGCAGGCCAGAAGGGAGTGGCAAGAAATATTCAAAGTGATGAATAGCAAGAACCTACAACCAAGATTACTTTATCCAGCAAAGCTATCATTCAGAATTGAAGGTCAGATAAAGAGCTTCACAGATAAGGAAAAGCTAAAGGAGTTCATCACCACCAAACCAGTATTATATGAAATGCTGAAAGGTATCCTTTAAGAAGAGGAAGAAGAAGAAAAAGGTAAAGATACAAATTATGAACAACAAATACACATCTATCAACAAGTGAATCTAAAAATCAAGTGAATAAATAATCTGATGAACAGTATGAACTGATGATTGTAATAGAATCAGGGACATAGAAAGGGAATGGACTGACTATTCTTGGGGGGGGAAAGGGGCGTGGGGGTGCGGGAAGAGATTGGACAATAATCGTGCACCTATGGATGAGGACAGTGGGTGGGGAGTGAGGGCGGAGGGTGGGGTGGGAACTGGGTGGAGGGGAGTTATGGGGGGAAAAAAGAGGAACCAATGTAATAATCTGAACAATAAAGATTTAATTAAAAAAAAAAGAAACTGAGAATAAAATTACTTGACAAAGTTTTTGTATTTACAGTTAACTTTAACTAAGTTGGTACGCACCAGTTTAAATGGGCAATGAAAAGATAGCTTATATTTAAAGAATTTGAAGTTAGGCAATGAGATGGCTCTTAACTTTGTAACACAAAATAGTCAGATTTGAATTGCATAATGAACTGAATAGTCTTTCTTAAGGTTTACATTTTTTTCTATCTCTGAAAAAGCAAAAAAAAAAAAATCAAATAATGAATATTGGTAAATGAAAGAGGAGAAACTATATTTTATTCTGAAATAGTGTTTATGTTTTTAGAATTGGCTAATATTATCAGGTACACATATAATTCTCTAAATCTTACCCAGTTCACTTGATTTCTTCTGAAGCTCCATGGTAAGTATTTTCAATTGGTCTTCACTTTTTTCCAATCTTGTAAAACATATTATTAATTTGCAATGTAAAGTATTATTTTAGTGAGAATTCATCTAATAACTAAAATTGGTGCAATCTATCTTAGCACAGATTCATTCATTCAATTATAAAGCATTTTTTGAGTACCTACTTTGTGCCAGATAGTGTAACACTTTAAAATAAAATATTGCTAGTATAAATATATAGTTGTATATTAATTAATCTACATAAAATCTTAAAGCTTGTGGTCACAATTTATCTCTTTCTTATTTACGGTAATCAAATTAATATATCCTAGAACTTTGATATTGAGTAACTACTACTATACTGAATTCTGCCTCAGGAACAATATAATTATGAAAACACGTGCAATTTGCTTAACTCCTCTGCCTTTCCATTTCCTTTTCTATAAAACTGAGGTAATTAGAACAGATGACATCTAAGATCGCTTACAATTCTAAAATTTGAAAATCAACTAGATAGGTCAATCAAGAATATAAGATTAGCTGAACTAGAAAAGCTAGCTTTTCTTCCTTTACAAGACACAAGCAGTAGAAAAGAAATACTGCTAGGCCCAGTTTATGACTTCAGAGAAAAATTTGTTTCTTTCATCCTAATTACCCTAATTCTAATGAGACAAAAATAACTACCGAGGCCTCATTAACACTGCTTTATATGAATTTTTCCTTAATATAAAGTAATGAAAAACATCAAGTTTTTAACTCACATTTTAGACAAACTATTTCAGATGAAATGCGAATGAATAATTTTATAATTAATCATATTAATTCATTAATGAATTTATTAATTCATTAATCCATTAGTTTAATAAAAATATTTTAGTACATTCTTTGTACCAGGTTAATTTCTAATTTTACAAATCAGAAAGAATGTTACAGACCTCAGTAAAATAAACCTCACTTCCCCATAAGAAGTTATTTCTATGAAACCAATAATAACTCAGTTTAAATATGTCATATAACTGCATCAGCACTTATCAGCTTATCTATTTAGCTTAATTTTATGGCAAAGTATGCATGGGAACGATCCTAGAAAATACCTGCTATCTTTTCCTAGTATACCTGCCTACCCAATACAAACTTTTAAAATGTATTCCCAGTTTATACTTTAAAAAAAAGACTGGTTACAATTGTTAAAGGAATTACAAGTCAGTTGACAATGAATAGAAAATGCACTGAACATTAAGCCTTTTTTATTCATCTAAATAAGAAATATTTTTACCTCTGATGTTCTGTTGTCATTAACTCTTTCAAGTTGCAGATGGTAGTTTTAAGTTCAGTAACCACAAATGAATTAGCAGCTTTAGCTTTATTAAATTCTTCCATTTGAGTTTCTTTTGCTTCAGTGAGCTGATGTATTTTTTTTGTTGCTATCTGTAAATCTTCCTCTAAAGCCTTTTGAGTACTCTGAATGAAATAAAGTAGAAAACAAAAGCAATGATCCAAGGCCCTTAAGAAAAAAAGCTGAACTCCTCAGCTTCTGTCCCTCCTTATCCTGTCACTCCCCTCTTCTACCCCACCCACTAATCTATTTCAATTCACCATTCCTCCAAAGCCCACCTAAAGTCTCACCCTCTCCATGGAGACTTCCTAGCCAATCCAGCCTACAGCGTTCTTATATACTTACTGCTATCACAGCAATTTTTGCCTGAATCACACTGTTGGTACCTAGCATGAGTGATCTTGTATTTTAGTTATATTTTAATGTGCTTTTCAACTAATGTCTCTAATTAAACCATAAGCATTTTGTGACAGGGATTGTATCCTCTCTATTTGAAGCTATGGGTCCTTGTACATAGTAATACGATTCTGTAAATATTTGTTGACTGATGAATAGTGTGAGACTTATCACACACTAATCAGCTTTTAAAGCATACCACACTTCTTTGCAAAGACATTTTACAATCTTCTAGTTCTGATGTTAAATGATCGTGCTTCTCATTTGATTCTTTTAAGTTTTCATCCTGTAATTCTAAAAAAGAAAATTGTAGATAAGTAGTACTTAATAGAAAAGAAAACGAATAACTTGTAACAATTACATTTTTTTCTCCATTAAATACTCCAAAATGAGAAAGAAATATGCAAATATAGATATGCTGGTATTGGTCATCATCAACTTTTATTGACTTTTCAAGATTGTTATTTCCCAAGCACTCAATGGTGAATATATAAAGATTTTCAATGCTACATTTTTAATAATAGCTGAACATTGGAAACAATCTAAATATCCAAAAGGAGATAGATTAAATTATAGTGGTACATACATACAATTGTATAACATGTAGCCACTATAAATGACCATACAGATGCTATTTATTATTAATTTGGACAGATATTTATTAAAAATTATAGAATTGCCCTAGCCAGTTTGGCTCAGCGGATAGAGCATCAGCCTGAGGACTGAAGGGTCCTGGGTTTGATTCTGGTCAAGGGCACATACCTTGGTTGCAGGCTCAATCTCTAGTATTGCTCAAGGGCATGCAGGAGGCAACCAATTGATGTGTCTCTCTCACATTGATGTTTCTCTCTCTGTGTCTGTCTCTCCCTCTCCCTCCCACTCTCTCTAAAAATCAATGGAAAAATATCCTCGGGTGAGGATTAACGCCCCCTTCCCCCCCCCACCCCACAAAAAACACTAAACCATGCTAGCCAAGCTGTGGTGTCCATTGTGATACTATTTATTATAGTCTGATAACCAAATGTTTTTTCTGAGAAATTATAACCACAAACTAGTCCTTAGGTGTGTGTGGTAACTGAATGTATGCTGTCTGAATGTCCCAAAAAGCTGCAAGTCAAAACTTAATTTGAAGTGCTCTTAAGTTCTCCCAGGATCCCAGAGCTACAAATGCAAACTTTCTCTGTAAAAATATACTTCCAACCCAGGTCTTAAAGAATTTCCACAGATGAAGTTATCGGACCTACAATCAAAAACCAAAAGAGAAAATAAAATACCATGAACAATTCAGCAGAATAAACAAAAAGCAGACTTGGACCTGCAAAGATTTCCGATGTTTTAATTACTAACTATGGGTTTATTAAAAATAAGTATTATATCAATCAATCTTTAAAAATGAAAAGAAGTAAGGAAGATGTCCATCAACTAAATAAAACTTCTATAAATGTTAACATATATAAAATTAAAACTGGTGTAACACAGGAGGTATATCATCCAACAAACCATTCCCCTAAAAAGAGATAAAAATTCAGGATGAAATATAAAGAACATTAAAATAATCAATTGTTATTGGAATGCATCAGTGAACAAAAAGACACAGATCCCTGTTTTCATAGAGCATTTTTCTGAAACTAAATAAGAGTATGAAAGGAAAAGAGGAGTGTATGTACTTTGAAAAAGCTCCCTAAGTGACTCTATTATGCTCTCCTTGTACAGGTTCACCCCAGGCTTGAAATTACAGTAGTAGAAAGCATTATAACAAAACTGTGATGAGCCCTGACCGGTTTGGCTCAGCAGAAAGAGCGTCGGCCTGCGGACTCAAGGGTCCCGGGTTCGATTCCAGTCAAGGGCATGTGCCTTGGTTGTGGGCACATCCCCAGTGGAGAGTGTGCAGGGGGCAGCTGATCGATGTTTCTCTCTCATCGATGTTTCTAACTCTCTATCCCTCTCCCTTCCTCTCTGTAAAATATCAATTAAATATATTTTTTAAAAAACTGTGATGAAAGCCAAAAATTAAAGCATAACAAAGAAGAATACATAAGACACATTGTTATATTTTATTATATAAATTCTTACTTATTTTTTCTTCTAATTGATTCACTCTATCTCTGGATTCTTCTAGCAGCAATGTTAACTCTTTTATTTTATTTTCTTTCTCGTTGTTTTGGATCAGTAGCAGTGATACCTAAAATTGAATATTAAATACCATATTATAGATATGAAAAATAAAATATGATACCTTAGCATTTATCATCACCTATGATTATTTTATGTACTTGTTTATATGTTTTTCATCTGGCTGTGCCTAGCATTTAGTACATGTTTACTCAAAAAAACCTTTATTAAATGAATGGAGAAACTACAGCAGGTCCTCAAAAATGATGTTTCATTCAATGTTGTTTTGTTATAATTTTGATGCGATGACGTAGGAACTTAACTTTTGTTTTTATCAATTAGCCTATGGTAAACTGGTTTCATTATACTTCGTTCCAAGAACCTATTGATGACATTAGGTGAGGCTTACTATAATATGACACACCCAATATTATAGTATGCATTTTAACTTATTACTGACATTATATAATAAAATCTACTTGGTTCATTTATTCCATAAACTAGAGGCCTGGTGCATGGATTCGTGCACATCAAAAGGAAATTAATTAGAAGGTGGCCTCCGAGTAGGACTGGGCAAGAAGGGCCGGACACACCCTAGAGCCAACCTCCCCTGGTCCCTCCCAGCCGGCTGCACCTGAGGCAGTGCTGGGGCTCAAAGGGCATCTGCGGAGTAAGCGTGGTCTCTCTGGCAGGTGGGGTCCCTTGGTCTGGCCTGCGGGAATCAGGCAGAAACTGGCAGGTCCAACATCGCCTGAGGGGTCCCAGAGTGCGAAAGGGCACTCTGCAAAGTTGCTGTCACTTGGCAACTCCTACGTTGAGCGTCTGCCCCCTGGTGATCAGTGCACATCATACCTACCAGTCAGCCAGTCACTTAGCCTTTTACATATATAGAAGATATTCTTGAGAACCCACACCATTCCAGAAACCATAATAAGCATTGAGTACAGAGACATGAAGGAACTAACCTTCAAAAAAACTCATAGCCTAGACTAGGACACAAACAACTCTACTTGAATATATTAGTAATAGGGCAAAAAGATTACAGGAATTGGGAAAGAAACACCTTTATCAATCTTGGGGGATGTAATAAAAAAAGTAATTCTTCTCAGAGAGGACTGAATCAAGTATTACAGACAAATAGAAGTTAATTAGGCAAACATGGGGAAATAAGCATTCTACACCAGCGGTCACCAACTGGTGGTCCGCGGACCACTGGTGGTCTGTGAGGTCCGAAAGGTTGGCACTGCTGGTTTAAGGAAATCTTTGGAGCAGCAGTCGCCAACTGGTGGTCTGCAGACCACTGGAGATCCATGAGGTCCAAAAGATTGGCAACTGCTGTTCTAGACTCATACAAGGACACAAAGGATCAAAAGATCATGCTTCATACAGAGAACTGAAAATATTCAGATGGCTAAAATTCTGAGAGGGACGGGTGGAAGGTGGAGTTGCCAAGGGGGTTATGGATATTGGTAGGCAACGAAACAGGCCTTCTGGCCCTGACAAGGAAAAAAAATCCTATATAATAAAAGCCTAATATGCAAATTGTTCCCTTGGGTGGTCGTTCAACCAGGAGTTTGACTGGGAGATCAAGAGTTCGACTGCTGACCACCAGGGGGTGGCACGGAACATGGCGGGTGTTGGCAACGCACTGCAACCTCTCTCCAGCTACCTGGGTGCAGGGGTGATGGGAGGAGGTGCAGTGAGAATGCAGGGTAATGGCTGAGCTTGCTGTCATTCTCACTGCTAACCGCCCCCCGGGACACTAGGGCTTGCGAGCCAGGGAAGCCCCCGCACGCAGATGCCAGGTGCCCATGAGGAGCCCACCCCACACCTGTGCGGCCTCTTTCAGGTGAGCTGGGCCGCAGCCACTGGGGCTGCAGGCGCTGATCGGGCTCCCCATGGGTTCACGCAGGAGCCGGTCTGTGAGGCCAGCCAGGAGAGAGCGCACTGCCCGCCCAGCTTCCGTGCAGCGCCACTGGGCAACCCAGAGGCCCACACACTCGCCCTGGCCCTCAGTATCCAGCCACGCTCACCACATCTCTGCGTGGGGCCTTGGGCGCCGTGACTCAGGTGGAAGGTGGCACATGGGAGCCTGGGGGCCCAGGTGTTGCCCAGGGCCCAGAGGTCAACTGGGACCTGCCCTTCCATGCCATACGCTCACACTTCGATCGCCGGCCAGGCCTAGGGACTGCACCCATGCACGAATTTCATGCACCAGACCTCTAGCAATAATAATAACAATAATAATAATAACGATGACATTTAGGAGTTCCCAGCAAAAACACTAGCTGGCCATACCATCATTTTACAGGGAACCCCAATAATCTATAAGCTCTGCCCATACACCCAAAACTCCAACAAGCTTTTTAAAAATGCATTCTATTTTTATGTTCTTTATAATAAGCACACTTTTAACTCTTAAAAAGACCTCCTTTCAGAAATCTGGTTTAAAAATTCAGTTAAAATATAGAAAATTGCTAACTCTTTCAAAGTACCTAAGCATGACACAAATTATTCTACCATTAAACCAGAACTAAAATAAAACTCTAATATCTTCTCTGTACTTTCAATTAACTTTTGCTACTATTATTTAAGTAGATATCGTTATTATCTATCATTACAAGGTATCATGTGGCAAATCAGAGAAGAAAAACATAGGAAACAAAGAGGATTCCTTTCTATATATTGCTTTCCACTGAAAAGCAGAAGGCTTGAAACTGATAAAGTTGGCCTAATAATTATTTGAGACCAACATTCTTGTGATGTCAAAGAACAAAGACTTGCCACTTTTAAGTCTAACATTATGCGACATTAATAGAAAAAAGAAAAAATTTTTTAGTTCACCTTCATTGGTGTCATGAATAGTATATTTCACAATAAATTACGAAATGTGGGCTGAGTGGTCAATGTGGGAGAGTGATCTTTACATTTTATGAGGTTGTTGTTTGAACAGAAGTTCTCTCAAAATAAACTATTTCTGCAGCAATGTCCTAATACAAATAATGTAGAAGATTAATTTTTTAAAAGGACTAGCATTCATCACATGTGCATATTTAAGTCAATGAAAACTAATTCTGCTAAGGAAAAAGCTGAATATTTAAATATATATAATATTAAAAATAATCTAATAGAAATTTATCATGCAGTCAGAAAATATGTTTCTTTTGAAATTTTAAGTATTTTGTAAATTAGCAAATGCAAAGTATACAGAAAGTTAATTTTAAAAACACACCTGCTTTTCCTTGTCATTTACTTCCTTCTTGTATTCTTCTTCAAGGTGTTGGATTTTTTCATAATCTTCCTTTACTTTAAAAGTAAAACAAATATACTTTAACATATTAACATAATTGTATAACAAATAAAACTTAAATTTTTGAAATCTACTTAGCGAGATATCAAACCCCAAATGTTTCTAACAAGCAAAAACTGTTTTCTTGGTAATTTTAGTAAAATAGTGAATTTAATAGCAAAGTAACAATAACTTAAGAAAATTCTAGTTTTACATAAAACATATATAAAAGTTCCTTATAACAGATTTTAAATACATAGTTATTTTTTCATGCAACTTCACCAAGAAATGTAAAAATAAGACCAAATCATACTTCTAAAAATTAAATACAAACCATAAGTTTTATTTCAGGAAAAGTGTAGCTTTGAAGCCAAAAACATATTTTTTAACATACGTCAATTCCCTGTCACATTCCATAAGATTCTGATAGGCTTAAAAAATCACATACAATACAAAAATCAAAAGAGTTAGGCATCAAGTTGAAGGTATTTAAACATTAACAGAATGTAATAAAAATATAAACAGAATCTAATGAAAATATTTTTATCCTTATAAAAATATAAAAATTAAATAGAATCCCTACATTTAAAATGCATTTCTAGTCTGGAATTCTCAGCTTGCACACGAAGTTCCTCAAAAGCTATTATCATTTTCTGAAATACAAAGTTTTAACTTTTAAGAATCATACTTAAGACTTTTTTAAGTAGCTTTCTTCAAACTATAAAAATATTAATAAATTTTTATTACATGGTCATTACATTTAAAACCATACAACTTTGAACAATGAAAACCCTATAACTTTTGCCCTGACCGGTTTGGCTCAGTGGATAGGGCGTCGGCCTGCGGACTGAAAGGTTTCAGGTTCGATTCCAGCCAAGAGCATGTACCTTGGTTGCGGGCACATCCCCAGTGGGAGGTGTGCAAGAGGCAGCTGATCGATGTTTCTCTCTCATCGGTGTTTCTAACTCTCTATCCCTCTCTCTTCCTCTCTATAAAAAAATCAATAAAATATATATTTGTTTAAAAACCCTATAACTTTTAATAATTCAATAATTTGTAAAAACGTATTGTCTATTGTGTTAGCTTCTCAGATGCTAGGTACTACAGACAAGTTACATAATATCAAACAGCAATAAAAATGATTACCACTTACTTAATAGCCTTAGTAGCAAAATCTATAATTTTATCTTTACTTTCACTTAGTTATTTAATATCTGTCTTCCCCACTAAAGCATAATCTCTGTGAGGTTCCTTCCCATAGGAGTCCAAATTACATGTTCATCATCTGGCAGCATAAGTTCAGTTCATTCAACATTCAATAAATCTTGATTTGTAAAATTGGATGAATTCATTTATTCAATTAATAAAGTTACTGAGTATCTATTATATACCAGGTACTGTGTTAGGCACTTAAGATATAAGAAAAAGTCCTTATCCTACTGAAACCAACTTATATTCCAGTATAAAAAAGAATGCACACACACATATATGTACACCAGATAACTGTCATGTATTTTTAAGTGCTCTTCAGAAAAGTTAAACGAGGTGAAGAGATTAATAATTTAATAGAAAGATATTTTAGATAAAGTAGTAAGGAGGTAATTAAAAAGAAGAATGAAGCTTATGAGTTTGCATAAGATCCTGGACACAAAAGTTCTAGACAAAGGGAATAAATTGAAAGAACCAAGATAAGAAAGAGCTTAACAAGTTTGAGAAACATAAGAATGACTACAGCAGAGAATCAAAGTGCAGAATGACAGATGGGATAAGACAGGTTAAGCAGGAACCAGAAACATTAAACTACTATGTTTTTCAAATTAATGATTTTGTGTCACAATGTGCTAGTGTCTGACACAGAAGTAATAACTATTTGATATATTAAGTTAAATAATGTCACTAACATGTAAATTCAAAAGTTACCCAGTAACAAAACATTAACACTCATCATATAGAACCTGGGGAACTTTATTGGTGATATTATCATATGTCAACAAATAAATAATAATCCCTTTGGCAAGCACAGTTTTCTACATCTTTGTAGCTATCACTCTACTTTGCTTAGAAATAACTTTGTTTAAAATATTAAATTTTCACTACCACTTACCTCAATGTTATTATTTAGGTCCACATAAACTTGCCTAGTTTCTTCCCGTTCATATTCATCTATTATTAATATAAAATATTTTAAAATTAAATTTTAAAACACTTATGATGCCAACAAGATAATAGTAAAATGCCTCAGGAAAACATTAAAATTTTGTGTCAGTTATATCTTATGAGCCCTTTAAAGTAGCACCAAAAGCAGTTTCATAGTGAGTCATGGTTATACTTTATATCAACCTCAAAAGCTTGGTGCTGTTCAATTATCTCTAATTTCCTTTCATAAAATTACTATTTATGAATTTATTCAAGTTTTGTAAAGTATACTTTTAGCCTTTACTATGAATAGGGGTTTAACAATTATTCTATAAAGTATTTTTTCCCTTTGTATATTTAAGATTCATGAGGTACATGAAAGGTAAAACTTGTTCTTGTCTCTTGTTCTATCTCTGAGGAGGCAGAAAGGAAGAAAACCTTAAAATAGGAAGAGTAAGTTTAAGAATGGCCCCAAAGAGAAACCCCCTATGAATCCCTTATGACCTTTTTGTGTATGGTTTTAGGTGAGTAATGATTCCCTCTAACTCTACTCAAGCATTCAGTAAAACTTGGAGTTGGTAGGTAGTGATGCGGGGGATTAAGGTAGAAGGCAGTATAAGAAAATGTGGTTTTTCCCCCAAATTAGGCCAGCAGCACAGAAACCACATTGAATTGGCCAGTATTAGTTCCAGATTCTCAATAACAGCTGCAAAACAAGAGAACAGCAGCTATTGCAGACTCAAATGTCAACGAGGAGTCAAACAACCAAAAAGTAGGTGGTTCTTTAGAAGAATATAAGTACCCTAAATCCTTCCAAAATACTGGAGAGCCCAGACGGCATGGTCCTGTGAACCAGGAGGCCATGGTTCAATTCCCAGTCAGAGCACATGCCCACGTTGCAGGCTCCCAATATGGGGTGTGCAGAAGGCAGCTGATCAATGATTTTTCTCTCATCATTGGTATTTCTGTCTCTCCCTCTCCCTTCCTCTCTGAAATCAATAAAAAATACATTTAAACAAAAATACTGGAGAAACCTCTAAACTAATCATAGCACGTGAACAAGAGCTGAACTATTTTTATTTGAATATTAAAAACCTGGAAACCTTAAGGAAATAGAGGCAGAACACATCAGTGTTTCAACAGAAAGATAGTTCAAACTTCTTACTCCACCTATTCACTGTCTCATTTTCACTACCTAACATACAGCAACAAACCTTTACTCCTCAGAAACTATTTGTACTAAAGAATTGCATTCTATCACCAACACCTTCAGTCTTCCTACTACCACAGACTGGGCCTTAGACTCGGAGTTTCCCTTGTTTCAACACCTGTGCAAAGGAGCATGGTGGGATAAAGCACAGAAAACCAGGGGACCTGGTTGGGTCATGACGACAGGTACAAGGAACAACTCAGCAGCAACCCATGTGGACCATTAACTGAATACTAATCAAACTGATAAAAGACTCAATAGCTAGATGACTGAAAAACAAATGTCCCTCTACACCACATGGTATTACATATGCAGTCCCAAATTTAGATATAACCCCAGGGAAAGGGGAAATTCTCCCAAATTCACTAAGATTAAGTTTTTTTATGCCAGCAGAATCAAAGCATTATGATTTTTATAAATTAAGATTTTTTAAACATTTTAAGATATAAAAATTTTGTGCATGCTTGAGTTTGTTGACTAAAATTACTCAGAATCATATACTCTACAAAATTCATCAGAATACCAAAAAAACCAACAGAAGGGACAGCAAGAAGACACAACTGTGCAAGGTGAAAACTTTAGAAACTGCTAAGTGACCTGCTATACAATTATAAATATGAAAAGAGGATTCAACTATTTAACCAAGGGAGGTAAATTAGGATCAAACTCAGTTTGTCACGTAGTTTATTTAGTATAGATAGTTCTTGCCTTTATCTATGATGTATAAGGGAAGAAAATCTATATGATACCTATGAAAAAATACTATCAAACAAAGGAAAGGAAACAACATGCCTATCACTGAAAATGAACTCTACAGAATCCAGATGAAAATTTCAGAAAATTACTCAATGTTCTCAACAGAACCAAGATAGTATGGCCTCAATGGAAGAGGAAGATACAGTCATAAAGAAAGAACAGGCCACACATATAATAGGGCAAGTATTAAGAATTTTTTAAGAAAAAAAAAAATCCCTCCTGTCACATCAAGATATAACCTTTAGTTCATTTTACAGTGGTTCTCAACCTTCCTAATGCCGCGACCCTTTAATACAGCTTTTCATGTTGTGGTGACCCCCAATTTCATTGTTACAAATTGAACATAATTAAAGCATAGTGATTAATCACAAAAACAATATGTAATTATATATGTGTTTTCCGATTGTCTTAGGCGACCCCTGTGAAAGGGTTGTTCGAACCCCAAACGGGTCTCGAGCCACAGATTGAGAACCGCTGATTTAAAAGATCACCTAAAAAATGTTTAAAAGATTTTTCAAACCACCATCTGATTTGATCACTGACTTAAGAGAGCCTAAAACTAAATGGTGAAAAGACTATTTCTCCCACTGTGAACCCCCACGTTAAAATAATAATAAATTGATAAAATCACATAGAACAAGAAATATATTTACATTTTTTTGTCTTTTCTGCAGATCTGGTACAGGTTTCTTTCAGTAAATTGCATAAATGCCTTGTAGCATTATTCCTGGAACATATAAAACAGCCTAAGTTTAATCTGATTGCAAGCAAAATCATATATAAAAGTTATAAAACATTATTTTTACAATTTTTAAAGGAATTCTTACACATATTTTGTATATATCATATTGTTCATAAATGACTATATGAAGAAAAAAATGAGCTGACTGTACTGTTATTGAAGCTGCCTCCATTTAAAAGTAAAAGGAATAACTCCTTAACAAGTTTCTACCCAAGTAGCTACCAATTACCTTTCAGTAAACACTTCTAAATTTGCCTAAGGGACTAAAGGTCAGAAGAGAGGGTTGGACTTTTCATTTACTAATTACCCCATAAATATTTCAGCTACCTTACCTTCAAAAACACAAAATAGGTAATATTCTGACTAGCCATTCATAATGTGAATAACAATACCTCTGATCACCTCAACAGATGTTGAGAAAGCATTCAATATTCATTTATGATAAAAAATTCTCAATGAAAGTGGGTATAGAGGGAATGGTACGTCAACATAATAAAGACCATATATTATAACATCTAACATCATACTCAAGGTGAAAAGCTGAAGCTTTTCCTTTAGATCAGAAACAAGACAGGGATGCCCACTCTTGCCACTTTTATTCAGCATCCTATATAATAAAAAGCTAATATGCAAATCGACTGGACGGCAGAATGACTGGTCGCTATGATGCGCACTGACCATCAGGGGGCAGATGCTCAATGCAGGAGCTGCCCCCTGTGGTCAGTGCGCTCCCACAGGGGGAGCAGTGCTCAGCCAGAAGCCAGGCTCACAGCTGGGGAGCGCAGCGGCCTCTGTAGCAGAGCTAAGGACCCCTCAAGGGATGTCCGACTGCCCGGGAGTGGGCCTAACCCAGCAGTCGGACATCCCCCGAGGGGTCCTGGACTGCGAGAGGGCGCAGGTTGGGCTAAGGGACACACCCCCCAGTGCACAAATGTCATGCACCAGGCCTCTAGTAGTATTAGAAATCCTAGACAGAGCAATTAGGCAAGAAAAGGAAATAAAAGGAATCCAAATAGGAAAAGAGCAGGTAAAACTGCCACTATTTACAGATGGCATGTTATTATATACTAGAGGCCCGGTGCACAGATTCGTGCACCAGTGGGGTCCCTCGTCATGGCCTGCCGGGATCGGGCAGAAACTGGCAGTCCAACGCCACCTGCCGCTCCCCCTCACTTCAGCCCTGCTGTGCCTTCTGCAGGCTCGCGCCCAGTCAGTCCCGAATGGGAGAAGCTCACGCCACTGCAGTGGTACTTGCAGCCGTGAGCTGTCTCTGGCATCTGTTGGTCAGCTGAGCGGCAATACCACTGTGGGAGCACACTGACCACCGGGGGCAACTCCTTCATTGAGAGTCTGCCCCCTGGTGTTCAACCCGCATTATAGTGACCAGCTGACCGGTTGTTTGGTCGCTTAGGCTTTTATATATATAGATATATATACATATACAGATACATATACAATATGTATATATGTATGTATGTACGTATGTATATATTAGAGGCCCAGTGCACGAAATGCATGCACTGGGGGAGAGGGGTTCCCCTCAGTCCTGCCTGCGCCCTCTCGCAGTCCGGGACCCCTTGCTCCTTACTACCCGCCTGCTCGCTCCTTACTGCTCGGCTCACTGCTCCTTAGCGCTACTGCGGAGGCGGGAGAGGCTCCCGCCACCACCACTGCGCTTGCCAGCTGTGAGCCCGGTTTCTGGCTGAGCAGCGCTGTCCCTGTGGGAGTGCATTGACCACCAGGGGGCAGCTCCTGTGTTGAGCGTCTGCCCCCTGGTGGTCAGCGCATATATTAGCAACTGGTCGTTCTGGTTGTTCCACCATAATAATGGCATAGGCTTTTATTATATAGATAGAAAACCTTAAAGATTCCACCAAAATAACAAATAGAATAAATAAACTCAGTAAAGTTGCAAAATACAAAACCAATATACAAAAATCAGTTGCATTTCTATACATTAATTAAGAAAATAATCCCATTTACAAATGCATCAAAAAGAATAAGATACCTAGGAATAAACTTAACCAAGGAGGTGAAAGAACTATACACTGGAAACTCTAAGACATTAATTAAAGAAACTGAAGAAGACACAAATAAATGTAAAGATATTCTGCACTCATGGACTAGGAGAAATAATATGTATAAATGTCCCTACTAGCCAAAGCAATCTAGAGATTCAGTGCAATCCTTATGAAAATTCCAATGGCATTTTTCACAGAAATAGAACAATCAATCATAAAGTTTGTATGGAACCACAAAGGCCCTGAATAGCCAAAGTAATCTTGATAAAAAGGAACAAAGTTGGAGGCATCACACTTCCTGATTTCAAACTATATTACAAAGCTATAGTAGTCAAAGCAGTATGGTATTGGCACAAAAACAGATACATAGATTAATGTAACAAAATAGAGAAACCAGTAATAAACCCAAGAATATACAGTCAATTCATTTATGACAAAAGAGTCAAGAATACACAATGGAAAAAGGACAGCCTCTTCAATAAACATGACTTCAGACACCAGTCACAAGCCCAGGTTGTTACCTGTATCTCTGACCCACTGGCTATATACATCAGAGGTTCCCAAGTCCTTTTCCTTAAGTTCAATTAATTTCTTAGAATGGCTCCCAGAACTCAGAGAAACAATTTACTTACCAGAGTACCAGTTTATTATACAACTATATAACTCAGGAACAGCCAAACAGAAAAGATACATAGGGCCAGGTATTTGGAAACAATGTGGAGCTCCAATGCTTTCTCCCCAAATCTTTAGGTGTTCACCAACCCAGAAGCTCTCTGAACACTATCCTTTGGGGTCTTTACAGAGGCTTCATTACATTGTTAGGATTGAATAAATCATTGGTCATTTGGTAATTGATTCAACCTCCAGGTATTTCCCTCACTGGAGGCGGAAGTGGGAGCAGGAGGACAGAAAGTTCCAACCCTCTAATCACCTTGAAGATTCTCCTGGCAACCAGCCCCCATCTTTAAGGTCCGAAAGTCACCTCATTAACAGAACAAGAGATACCACTGTCACTCTCAACACTTCGAAAATTCCAATGATTCAGGATCTATCTTATAAGACACTATATGAACTCAATCACATACCCATATAAAAATGACCAGTAAATACCAAATATACAGTACACACACGTTAGAAACTTCCTCTTCTCTCTCCCTTCCCCTTATAACCAAATTTCATTTAGGCAGGGAAAAAATTAAGGTGTAACATTTAAATTTATCTAGGAAGTCACAGGTTATCTTTCAACTTGGCTAAAACAGTCCATTGTGGCAGCATTTTTCACTTAGCAACTTCACTAACAGGTTAAAGGTTTTTAGAACCATATTTAGTAAGTTTAACTTAAATCAAGTAAGGGATGAACAAATTCAGTACTCTATGTAAACCTATACATTATATCCTAACCAATATTTACTTGACAGATGAATTGAACAATTTCATATTTCTATTAAATTCTGCACAATAGTCTAAATGAGATGATAAAAGCAGAAAATAAGGCTTAGCTATTGTCTATAACAAAAGAAAGGAAAAGTCAAAGATGATATTCAAGTTTTAAGCCAACATAAATGGAAGAATCATTGGGCCACTGGCAAAAACAGGAATTCGAATGTGAGAATTAGCTTGGAACTAAGTTGAGCCCTACTTTGCAAGTGCTGCACCAAAAACAATAGTCAAACAGAAAGGTAGACAATGTACATAGGTAGTTGTAGAATTATCAGGTAACTTTTTGAAACCAGGTAATGGTTTTTCTTGCCTGACATGTTTAAAATTGTTTGTCAAATGCTAGAATGTAAAAACAGTATGTCTTCATTTCTCCACAGCACCCGGTGTGGGAAGCCGCCTATTGCAGTGATGGCGAACCTATGACACACGGGTCAGAGGTGACACGCAAACTCATTTTTTTGGTTGATTTTTCTTTGTTAAATGGCATTTAAATATACAAAATAAATACCAAAAATATAAATCTTTGTTTTACTCTGGCTGCAAATATCAACAAATTTCTATATGTGACACGGCACCACAGTTAAGTTAGGGTTTTTCAAAATGCTGACACGCCGAGCTCAAAAGGTTCGCCATCACTGGACTGTCTTCTCTAGCAGAGAGGTGTGGACAAGGAGCCCGGAATGCTGGTGACCCTTGAAGCCCTGGCAAAGGTCAGGGCTATGTACCCACTGTTTAGTCCAGACAATGGTAGCTGAAGCAAATTCCCCACCAGATAGTCATGTAAATCCTTACTGATAAGATAGTCTGTTACTGAAACTTGCCTAAGGGTTATCCCAAACTCAATAAAATAATGGCAAGGCCTGAGCACAAGCGGAGTCCATCCTCTTGGGATGGGCTCTAGCCTGGCCCCCCAATTTCCAAATTATCTCTTGTCTCATCTCTTTCATTTGTATGCGGCCCCTCTTCCAGATCCTGAACCCTGAACCACGCGGGACGTGGGGGAACATACACAACCAGGTAGAATTTTACATATAAGTTAGTGCTTATAACAGAAAGTGCTCAATAAATTATTGTAAATTATTTTAATAAAAAAATTGGAAAGAACAAATTCATTAAATTATTACTTACTCTTTTATTAAATCTTTATTTTCTTGAATTCCTTCTTCTAATTTCAAACTTACTTTTTCATTTTCAAACTAATTTACAAAACAGAATAGTTCATCAAATATTACTTAGCAAAATAAATGAGCGTAACAGTGTAATATACAATTACATATGTAGTATACATCTGCTTAAAGAAGTGACTATAATTGTACATCTTTTAACATATATATAGTGTTTAAAATATCAAATACTTTTGCTATGTAAACAATGCAAACAGTATTTTTTTGCTAACACGCTATGATGGGCCATAAAAATTATTTTCTTTGAACACCAAAAGTACTTTTTTTGTCACAGCTTATAGATTTCCCCTAAGACAATGGGTCTCACTTTCATCAATCTAAAATCAAGTTATCTTTCCTAAACATTTTGAAATGATGTTTTATCTTCATCCGAGCGGCTGTTTTATCTTCGACCTAGCCCAATGTTGCAGTTTCTCAACATTTTTCTATCACTATGCCATAAAAATTAAAGCTAAACAGTTTCAAATTTAAAGTTTTATCTATAAATGTCATATTACTATATAAGACATTTGTATTAAATAAAACATCCTCAGTAATAGGAATAAAACTCAATAAATCAGAATCATTAAGTCAATATTTCCCTAATCATTTGCATTATCTTGTGCAACTCATCCTGTGTCCATTCTAAAGTTGAAATGCAATATCAATGAAACTTCAAAAAACCAGTCCTTAAAATCTACATCACAGAAACAAGATAAATGCAACTTACCCTGAAATAATACTTTTATTTAATATATTTTTTATTGTTGATAGTATTACAGGTATCTCCCTTTCCCCACCATTCTCTCCTCCCCCCCCCCCCTTCCCACCCCCAACCCCCAGGTCTTCACCACTCTATGGCCTGTGTCCATGAGCTATGCATGTAATATATAAGTTCTTTGGTTTATCTCTTCTTGTTTCCCCAACCCCACATTGAGGTAGTCTGTTCCATGCCTCCCTGCTTCAGGTCTTATTTTGTTGGTCAATTTATTTTGTTCATTCGATTCCATGAATAAGTGAGATCATGTGATATTTGTCTTTCAATATTCTATTTTAAACTGTATTATAACATTATACTACATTTTCAATTCCAAATCTCATACACCTGAAGTTCTTTTTTTAAATATATACTTTTATTGATTTCAAAGAAGGGAGAGGGAGAGATAGAAACATCATTGATGAATGAGAATCTCATTGATCGGCTGCCTCCTGCACGCCCCCTACTGGGGATTGAGCCTGCAACTCAGGAATATGCCCTTGACCGGAATTGAACCTGGGACCCTTCAGTCCGCAGGCCAAAGCTCTATCCACTGAGCCAAACCGGCTAGGGGATACCTGTAGTTCTTGAATGGCTTTCCGCTGTGCTTCAATTATCTTTCTATTTTCTTGCAACTTATTTTCTTTCTGCTTCAGTTCAGATTCTATATTCACTTTCCACTTCTTAATCCTTTCAGTCTCTTTATACAATTTTGAATATAGTCTGCTCATTGGCTCTGAATTCTGTTAAAATAGGTTTTCAAAGATTGTTAATTGTTCAAAATGTTAGTATAACCAAACCTATTCAAAATATCTATGAGTAATTGTTTCTGAATATTTGAGACCAAATCTCTCCTCCTAATAGCATAGTGAAAGCTATATTAACTTTTTTGTATTCTAAGGCAATCCCTAGTTACTTTACTTCACAAAGTTACCCGTCATTTGACTAAGTTATACCTTGCTGAATAAAATCAAATAACTTCAAAATGAACCTAAGCCAGAAGTTAGAAATATTTTAGTCAAGGAGAGAATCTAGCTGGTTAAAAGCTAAAATAAATCACTCTACAAAAAATCTATAAACTTTAACAATGGTCTTGAAACATTTTGGAAATATAAACATTTGAAGGTTTAATAAAGAACATGAAGCTTAAAATACAATGATGAAAAATAAGAGTGAACACAAGATCTAACTTTGATTTAGCCTCAGATTTTACTTGGATTTCCTGCATTATTCATTTCTACATTACAAGGTAAAAGCTAGAGTTTTGTTTTGTTTTAAATCACACTGATTTCTGCTCACTGATGCTCTTTATTATCGAAATATATAAAATAAGTTCCATATTTTAAAATTCTGTGATACTATAATCCAGCAACAAACATACAGTACTTAATTATTTTATTAGGTCATGAAAGTTCTCATTTTAAAGACATGTATGTGCCATTAGTAAGAACATTTTTACAACTAAAATCAAAAGGATAGCAAGTCCTACAAACTCCTTAGACAGTAAACCAGCCAAACAATCATACCTATTAATAAAAAGATTATAAAATACTGGGTTTGATTCTCAGCCTTTTCACATATTGCATCCATCTTCCCTCTTCTATTCTTGATTTCTATGATTTAAATTTAAATTGCCCCTAAAAAGCAGATGCCATTATAACCCAGGAAAATACAGAAGCCTAGAGTTTCGGCAATTTTAAATGAAGATAAAAAAAAGAAGGGGGAAAATCAAAGAGTATACTTTAAAACATTTACCAATATTTCTTTTGAAGGCTCAAAAGAAAAATATATAAATAGTAACAAATGATTGCAAGAAATTTCATATGAATGGGAAATCTTCTGACCTCAAAATCAGAGTCCTTTAATCCTTCCTGGTAAAGACAACTGTCAGAATTATCAACCTAAAAAAATGAATAAATGTTTCCTATAAGAAAATATTTCTTATGAGAGTTTCTACACAGTAGCAATTAAATACTGAAGAGTAGTAATCCAACAACTAAAGAATTTTTTTCTTTTTCAAGCAAGCAGTTCAACGCCTAAACAGATTATATCTATCTATAGGCACTCTACTCAACTGACCTGTTCAAGCATGGGCAAAAAGTTAACTTTCTGTAAAGTAGCATCTGCAAGATAAAAGACAACAGATATTAAGTATGTGAACATCTGATTTTTTACATTAAGTATTATATCTAACTTCAATGTCAAGGCTATCGATATAATACTGTTATATTTTCAGTATCTAGCAATGTGGATTTTAAAAATGCTTCTATGTGAGGTGATACATTGCTTTTCCAGTCTCCTACCTGAATCAATGTTCTTCCCATGTTTGGAGAGATTAGTCATTGCAAATGGAAAACAAGTGTCATCTTCAATATCTTTGTTGAAACTCTAAAAACACAAAGAAGTTCTTAAACTGTCCCATACAACTCTGATAACAAGCAATATAAAACAGTATAAATATGTAGTTACACAAATAATATACATCTGCTTAAAGAAGTGACTGTAATTA